AACCCGGAGCGGTTTGGCGGGACTGCGGAGCTTCGCGGTTGCCAAGAGCAGTCGCTATGGCGACGGAGCGCGACGGCAGACTAGCCGCAGGCGCGCAGCGGGCGTTGCGTCTCGGGCACGCGCACGCAAAGCTCTGGAGGCGATCGACTACTTCTGAGTTCCTCAACTGCTCCTGGTTGTCATCGGTTGCTAAGAGTTAGAGCAAGTTTGTGTGGGCTCGAAAAAGCTGTTTTTTAATCCTTCCTGCTAAGTTCTTATAATGCATTATCAAAAGAAAGATGTCTAGCCTTCAAGTGCCCCCACTGACCGGAACTTAAAGGAGTTTGAATACTCCCTCCCCACGTGCCCAAAACCACTCTGGAGAGTTCCACATCTGTAAAATGAGGAAATACTGTCGCACAACCTTGGTTGTGAGGATTTTAAGAGATGATTATTTTAGAATCTCTTTTTAGACACGCTGGTAAAGAATAAGAGTTCAATACAATGGTAATTTAATTTTTTCTCTCCGTCCACTCGTTTCTGTGCTCTTTGATTTCTCACCAGTATGATTTTTTAAATCTATTTTACTTTCAGAAAAATCTAAATGCCAGTTAGATTTTTTTAATTATCTAGACGCAACCATGTTTGTAAAATAGCCAAAATATACAATCATCGTGTTAAGTTTATTTTATTGTAGAACAAACACAACCAATTACTGAAGGAAAACAGAAATTAAAGTTTCGGTTGTCTTCTGTCTCATAAACTACTAAACTGCTAGTCATTTTTACCGAAATTCACCAGACTGTAAATTCAATAATTAATTTCCAAGAACATTTACAGCTATATGTTGATTACTAAGTTAGGACTGGAGACACAGTCCCTGCCCTTTTTATTTAATAAAAATGTTTTTGGGGGGGCCAGCAGGTGGTATGGAGGTTAAGGTGGCTGTATCCCACATGGCTGACAACAAAGTTGGAGAACTGAATCTGAAAAACACACAGGGTATGTCTGAGTGCCCCAAATCCAAAGGGTTCTGAGAATGGAGAAGGGATTTTAGAGCACCGTCTCTCTCTGGGGCATGGATGACTTCAGACTTTCCCTCTCTATTTCTCTTCAGTGAGCTCACACACCCTGCAGCAAACTAAAATACATGTATTTTTTTCATCTTCCGGAGTTGGTGGGATTACAGGAAGTAGTGTGTGATGCATGCTACCACACCTGGCTTCTTAGGTAGGGTTAGAATTAAACCAGGCCTCCCATTTGACTTTAGCCTGCCTGGTAGCAGCATCCACCCACTAGATGTGAATGAACCAAAACTCATTTTCCATTTCCATAGCTAAGAAGTGGATACCACCCAGATGCAGCCATGTAACTAATTATCACCAATGACATGTGAGCACAAGTAATATGTGCCACTTTTGGGGCGAAGTTACAAAACAGTGAGTGTATCTTTACCTTTTACTAACTTATAGATGCAGCTATCAAAGCAACAAGTGATGGCAAAACCATAAAATAGTAGGACTCTGGGGAACCAGCAGTTAGCGTAATGTCTATGTCGCTGGACTCCCACGTAGTCGACCACGGTTCACATCCCGGACCTGGTGGCTTAAAACTCATGCCAGGCACGTGTGCGTGCGTGCCCAAGATCCAGAGAGGAGAATGGAGGAGAAGGGATTGCGGCGTGACCATCCCCTCTGGGGGGTGACTTCTCGCTTTCTGTCTCTATGTCTCTGTCTGGCGAGCGAACACACCCTAAAGCAAAAACCTCTCCAATATATAGTAGGACTCTGAGCCCCAGGATCATAGTTGGATTAAGACCAGCAAATGTTTTGCAAGAAATAACCTTTATTGTATTTGAACAACTTTGCATTAAATATGTGTGCCTATTTTTATAGTTATTTATGATATTCTAACCAAAACAGTAGTTGATATCCATAGAGAAGTACTGTTTTCGTTTTTTAATGGGAATCATTTAGATTGGCAGTTGGCTGGCAGGTGGTAGGAAAACAAGTAATGTGAGCTGGAGGACACACAAAATTTCTGAGTCATGGCTTCCTAATTTGTTAATGCATAGGCATTTCAGAAACTTTGGGGGTATATGTTATACTTTAAAATTACTGAGGATTCTAAAAGCTTTTGGTTTTGTGGGTTATTCTATTAACATTTATTATAATAGGGCCAGGTGGTGGCATAATGTTTATGCAATTGGACCTACATGGGAAACATCCTGGGTTCATGTCCCAGAACATCCTTACCACACTGGGCGTGTGTGTGCATGATTGTAATCTGGGCTGGTTAAGACTGGAATGAATCTTGGTTTTAGGATTGTTAGCGGTGTCTCACTCTCTCTCCTTTTCTCTATATCATTTTGATGAAAGAAAGAAACTTTAAAATAAAAAATTTAATGTAATAGAAATTAGAAGAGATTTTTGAATTATTCATACACACAAAAATAATAAACCTATATTAACCTTGTTACAATAAAAATTTCTATGAAAATAATTATATTTCTCAAAAAATAATATCAATGATAAGAGTGGTACTGTTCTATGTTTCTGCAAATCTCTGATAATTTTGTAACATCATGCATTGGTCATTTAGAAAGTATTTGTTCACTAAATGTCTTAGTCCCCTATTGTGTTGTCAACAGAAGTATCTCCAACTGAGTGATTGCTAAGAATGGCGCTTTATTCACTTTGTGGTGTGGAGGTCCAAGGTCCATGGGCCAACTTGTGGTGAAGCTACATCATGGTGGTAGGCAGAATCTTGAGCAGAGTGGTTATCCATAAGGCTCACCTTCTTTAGTCTTCTTTCTCCTTTTACAACATAGCAGAACTCAATCCCTAGGGCCACCACCCTAATGACCATATCACTCCCAAAGGCGCACTTTGAGACACCTTGAAGACATTAAGTTTTCACTTAATATCTTAACAATTCAACCAAGTTTCAATACAAGAATTTGGGGAGGGGGGACATCCAAACTGTAGCATTAAGCTACAAAGATTTTCCAAATGCTGATAGATTTCATATACAATATCCAAAAAACCCACAATAATATACCATTGATCTCAGAAGGAAAAAAAGTCTTTATGTTAGATAGGTTGTGAAATTTACAGCAGATAATTTCGGTTTTCCAAAATTCTAATTTTTGCACAAAAGCTTGAATTTTATCACTGCCAAAAAATGTTTTCCTTGGGACCAGCAGTTAGCATAATGGCTATGTCACTGAACTCCCATGTAGTTGATTGCAGTTCGAGTTCCAGATCTGGTGGCTTAAACTCAAGCCAGGTGTGTGTACATGCATGCCCAAGATCCCGAGAGGAGAATAGAGGAGAAGGGACTGTGGCATGCCATCCCCCTGGTGGGTGATTTCTCACTTTCTGTCTCTCTGTCTATCTTTCTGACAAGCGCACACGTCATATAGCAAAAAACCTCCCCCCCCCAAAAAAAGTGTTTTCCTTGAAATAATAAACTGATCTTAATTAATTGTTGAGAAAAAAGTCTGCCAAGTACTCGTCTGAATAACCATTATTATTATTATTCATTCAAGTAAAAATGGTGTTAAAAAAAACTAGTGTAAATCACAACTCAATTACAGTAGTTCTTTTCCTTGAGATCACTCATATATATATATATATATATATATGGTTGTTTTTTTTTTTTTCTTTTTGCTA